AAAAGAGTCCCCTGGATGTGAGCAGGCAAAGCGAAGCTGTCAAACTCTTTCCTGCTGCCGCTTTGAGACATCAGATGCGCAACATCAACTTTCACCATCTGTAGAGGCGGAGGATTCATTTAACAGCTAGACCAGAAATCTGTTTCCCAACAATGCAAAGGAGCTGATGAGACTGAGCACTGAAATCAGCAAGATGGCTCTTAAATGATCTGCTTCAGACAAAAGCATGCAGGGTGAACAGTTTTATCCAGACCATAATTTGATTCTGAAAGTCCTTCACCATTATCAAGCACAAACTGCTTTGAATATTAGCATATACTGTAAAAATATCCGTAAATTTGCAGTTTTTCATATTTTGTGATGCATGTTTTTTTATGTTGCAGCAAAGGCTTATTGTGAATACGTACCCTTGTATACATTTCTGTTGGGTGTGAATTTGTACGTAGCCAGAGCTATGTTTAGCTGCATTTCATCTTTAAAGCGAATGCTACGGAGCGGTATGACGCCACTGACGGCTTCTGATTTTTTTCACGCTACCGACTCACTGCTGACCTCCAAGTGGATAGCTTTTCCACTGTTATCAGTTTGCCCAATGGCTCATCCCATACGTTGGCGGACTTGAGACACGAAAGAAGTTGACTGCGACAACAGGGTTTGAGTCCTGTGAAAAATGGTTCCGGAAAGACAGTTAAACTCAAAGCAAAAATGCTAATTAACAAGTGTGAGAGCATAGTAAAATCTTTGAATGTGGTAAAAAAAAAGAGGTCTTTTCTTTTAATGTATTACTATTGAAAACACTGTTGGTTGGGTTTAAGGAAGGAAGTGGGTGGGTGTATCTGTCGGTCGCTCAGTCAATCGACAGCGGCCTTTGGTGGATTTACGTGAGAAGAGCAGGCGCGAATGGAACTCATTACATATTAGGAATCACTAATAAAATTAAACAACAACTGTCTATTTAGTTTCATTTCCAAAAGTTCATATCATACAAAATCAGCAGAAGCTTATAAAAACACACATCTGGTCCGAACCCCTGGAGAATAATCAGGGGATTGATACAATATACAAGTCACATATCTTGTTTATTCTATTGTCTTTTTGGTAATAATCATTGTGCCTGCTGCTACCGTTGTACAGCAGCAATCTTCTTTGATAATTAGACCAGAATGAGAGAATAGTTCCTATTGACATATAGAAAATTGCTACTTTCAATTTTACGTCAGTCTTAATTACTACGCAAAGCAACTACAGAAAAGTCAAGCTTTAGGTAGGAAAATTGTCTTAACTCTTGTTTTAAGAATTTTGAGTGTGATGCTAATGGTCTAATACGATTCAATGATCTAAGCTATGCTAAAAGCGCTCAGTTCAAAACCGGCTTAACTCCTCTCCCTATAGGAGAGTTGCACAAAGAGACTATTTCCGAACAAGTGGAGTGATCCCTTAATGAATAAGACAGAAAAAAAAATCAACAATTTCTATGGTGTTTGCAAAGATGGGCTACAAAAATCATTTTCTGAGTAAGATGAGGACCATCAATGCCTACAGAGTGTTTTTTCTTACTCCACCTTTGAGAGGTTTACCAGCTTTTAGTTTCTGAACAGGCTTCAGATTGTATTCCTGTTACACTTATTATTAGTAATTTTTTTGTTGTTTTTTTCTACACAATGATGTGGTAAGAGTTAAGTAAATTGTGATGAATTGTTCAGCAGAATCTCCTTCCTCAACATATGGTTTGTTCCCTGCCTTCATCGTTCAATCAGCAACTGTCAGGCAGAACATTGAGCCTGGCATGAAAACAGGTGAAGCAGTTCCTTATAGCTGACAACACTAAAGTATTTGAAAATCCCTTGCAATAAAGTTCTGGCTAACCCTCATGAAAATAACTATGATTGAAAATGTACTTATTGCAAACTAAATAAAATCCTTTTTTTTATGTGGTGATTGAAGTAAAACCGTAACTAAAAATTTAACCATCGTTTTATCACAGCATTTGAAGTAAAACCATAGTACTACAGTACACTGTAAAACCCAAAAAGGTAACTCAAATTATTTGAGGAAACTGATTGCAACAAATGATTTAAGTTTAAAAACTAATCCTAATGAGTACTGTGCACTTAATCCATTTGAGTAAACGAAGCAATTTGAGCACAGTAAAACCTATTGAACAAAGAGAACTCAAACCAACAGAGTACTGTAAAAGTCAATAGGTTAAGGCAACTCAATCCAATTGAGGAAACTGATTGCTACAAACCATTTGAGTTAAAAAAAACTAATCTATACTGTGAACTTACTCCATTTAAGTTGAAGTAATGAGGTATTTAATTAACACCTTCAACACTGAGCTCAAAACTTTTTTCAATTGAGTAGAATTAACGTTTATTTTGATTTAACTACACTCATTTCATTTGATAAAGTTGACTGTTGGGTTTTAGTCAACACAATCTCACGGCAATTCGTAACTTTGATTTAGTGGCTAATTCGTATCCCCCAATGACGGTTGGGTTTAGGGGTGGGGTTAGGTGCCACGCCTCCTTTTTAAAATCGTACAATTAGTTTACCTAATGTCTCTCAAGGTAGTTCAGTTGTACGAATTTGTACGAATTAGCCACTAAACTGGCAAAACGTAAAATACTTACGTTTTCTCGTGAGATCAGGCTGCTTTTAGTGTATAAAATGAGGAATAGTTCCACTACTGTTGCTTAAATTGAGTTAATTCATATTTTATTGTTTGTTTATATAAATATTTCATTGAAAATCTTTTTTTGTAGTTGTAATTTTTCTTAATCTTTCTGGCACATGTAAACATTTTTACACAGTTTACATTCCCTTCCAAATAAGAAGCAAATGTTTTAATAAAATCTCCATCAATTAACTTTTTTTTTTTTTTCAGAGTTTTGCTTTTTTAAAAACAATCTGCTTTGGTTCCTACAATTATGATAACTAGCTTTACCGTAGTACTAATGCTACAATATATAGCAAATATAACTATATATATACAATAATATATATACTAAATATACAATATTACTATAGCAAAATTTAAAAAACAAAATTTGTTTGGTTTTTAAATCTAGTTTAAACCAAGGTGGTCACTACAGTGGTATAGTATTACTACAGTATCACTATAGTAAAACCAACATGCATCAAAAAACAAGTCATACTTTCCAGTTTCTGTGGATATAGACTAATATTTATGTGTTTGAGTAAAATGTTAAAATATATATATATATATATTTTTTTTTCTTTTTCTGTAGCATAAACTGATAACATTGCTTCCAAATTTCAAATTAAAGTACATTAAATTACTATTGGGCAGACAAACAAATGTTTCCATTGATTGTAATTAAAAATCTGTGTCATTCTTATGATGTAACACGTATGACATTAAAACATTGGTATTGTGTGTGTCTAGAATTGAGTATAAACATATCCTGGAAGTTTTTCATGATATAAAAAAAGATTCTAAAAGGACAATGAATTTGAAATTAGGAAGAAATGTCATCAGCTGTTTGCAGAATGAAAAACATAGCCCAGTAAAAGAAATATACTGTCAAAGCATTTGTTTTATGTCATTTAAAGCATTGAAAATAAATACTTGGTAGAATAATCTTAATTTTCAATAACAATATGAAACATAGAAATGAAGAGATTGAGACTGCCATATTCATTGAAAGAATTTCTTATAGTGGTATATTAAAATCGGTCTATTTGTCCCCATTTTTAAAGAGATGTAAACAATAACAATGGTCCTAATGTATTTCCTGTATTACATTTTTTAATTTCCAAAGCTTCCAAGAGTCCAAAAGGATCAACATATTGATAAATAATGTTATGGCAGCCATTTTAACATTAAGATATGATTGAATTGACTCCGGTTACAGCGGTGAAATAGTTTGGCAACAAGCAAGAAATGTTCATGGGCCAGTGACATCACAACAAAATAAAGAGACTGAGACCACCATTTTCTTCAAATTGTTAAAGTGGTAATTTAAATTATGTGAGTCTGTGACATACAAGAACAATACTGGTCAAGCAACATGACCTGTTACCAGAGGAGACTGTGCTGTGTAGTTTAGACATACAACTTTGAACAAATGTCTGAGGCGTTACAAATTATTCAACATTTAAATACAAATTAAAGAAATGGCTGAAAGCAAATCAAGTTTGTAATCATGTGTAATTCTTTTGTCTAACATTTTAAGAAATTCTGAAATGTTTTATCTTATTGTCGTATGCAACTTTGCTGTTATTGTATGTGTTTTTGATTTTAGGTTGCCTTTTAAAATCTGGCAGGAGGCAAAAGATAAAATTAGCCCTTGTGGCCCAACTCTGGCTTACAGTTGTACTGTTAATTTTTGAGCGCTGTCCCTGTTAAATAAATACATTTCAGAATAAATAGGTCCATGTAGTTATAGTGTAGCCATTGGTAACCATAAAAGTTTTGTCTTAATATGGTACATTTTATCATTTTAAGCATATGGTCATAATGTTTAAGCTGTTCTGTTTCTTTCCAACCAAACGTCCCCTCTCACCCAAATCCCACCCACAACAAACACTCGCAAACCGGATGTTAGCAGACCGAAGCGCGGCAAATGATTGAAAAGGAGACCGGCTCTCTGATTGGCCAAAAAGAGCGGGCAGTCACTTTCCTTTCTTCCCTTTTTTATTTTTTCAAAATCCTGTGTGCAGAAGCAGATGTAAAGCCTCAAGCCATCTTATGAGCATTTATATGACACAATAAGTCATTCTAATGCCTTAATAAACAAATATAACTTATTTTAAAACAACCAATGGTTTCTTACACTTATAAGAACTCATGACAGAACAAAAGTAGAAGTATTATGATTTTTAGCAATATAATAACATAAATACCGTGAATACATTAACATATAGACATCCGTAAATGACTTATTCGTTCATTTTCCTATTTTAAGAAGCGTTTGGTTTGTTGACGTTCGTTATTTGCACACTCCAATCCAGTAGGCGGAGCTCCACCCGGAACCGCCGAAGCCGAGAGAGGGACGAAGAAGAAGTGGCATTGCCTTTCAAATAATCACAGTCGCCCGCCCACTGTCCGATGCTGTTTGCATCGAAAATATTGTCGAATGCATGAAAAAGATCATCTCTGCTGTCGTGAAAGCGCTTTTTGAGTAAGGTGTGTTGGCTTTCGAATATTTTTCGCATTTTATTGTCGAACGAATGAAAGTCGTATCTTTTTCCATTGAAAAGTTGTCTTAGTCGGGTTAGCAGGCTGCTAACAAAAATCGCCAGAGCCTCACATTTTACCTGGAACTACAAAAGCTCGCGGGCTTCACTGTACATTATGGCAGCCAGACTACAGCATCCGCGCTTTTATTCCTCTCGTTCTGCATGAAATCTTGCGAGGTTTACGATTGTTTAGCCATTTTTGCGCAATTTCTGTAACGTGAGGGGAATTTTGTCGTCAATATATTGCTAACTATATGTAAGATCTCGCGGTATAAAACGATGTCATTTTTTTCCTGTTGTAGAAAAGATGTCCATTTGCATCGGTCGAGCATGCTTGAAAAGTCTGCAACGTGCTCGAACTTCTGCAGCTGAAGCGTGTTGCTGTTGTTAATACTGAGATGCTTTTTTCCATTGTCTCTTGCCTTCAAACAGCGCTTCGATCGGGTTTAAAACGTGCTGCTCCCACATGAAAAAAAGAACAATGCACCCCACACTCGGTCCATATTTTTTAGCTATTTTTGGAGAATGTTTTGTATTTTTTCTATATTTTTTTCTATATTTGTGTATTTATAATCCTAATGTAGCGGTTTTGCTCCTTGATAGTTGCTAAATTGTATTTATTTCAGTCGAGAAAGTTAACAGAGCACCGTGTTTTTATTTTATAAAGAACACACCTAAATATGTTTACCTCATAGATACACTGGTAACTTATTTAAAAATAATCTATATGTTAAGATTAAAGTGGATTAAGTTAAAGTTGTACAATGATAAAGCTTTCTAAATTCAAACAATAGTCTGCAGCATTGATGTCTAGTTAAATTATATAATGTGTATATAATATGAATCATTAACATGGACTGTGCTTTAATATAGTGTATTTTATAAAAGTAATCTTAATACTAAACCATATAAGTGGATAACGTTGTAATTGCAATGTGCAATCTTTCTGCAATGAAATGGTGGTCTTTAGTGGATTAAATGCCAAATTTTGTATTTACATTTTAAATTAATCTCTATTTTTTACCACCTCATTTGGCCTATTGTAATATAAATACTTTAGTATTTAAAATAAGCTGTTCTGACTAAACGGTAATACTATTTTTAATGCTCTAGAACAATCTTTTATGATCGAAATTAGTCACCATTGTTTTCAAATAACTAATGTAGTTTTACATTTTTAAGTATTACAATATTATATATTTAATATTTATTTATATTACAAATTATTTTTCTTTTTAATTTAAAAAAATATTTAGTTTTTTTTATTACTGGTAATTTTAAAAAAATTATTTGTTTAAACTACTGTCAATTTTAGTTGTGTGTGTGTGTGTGTATAGAAATATATATAGGTGTAGCTATTAGAATATGATTTTTTTTAAAATAATAAGATATTTATATTAGAGTGCCATTCAGGCAAGGTAAAAAAAAAAAACAATATTTCAAAAATATTTAAAACCACAGAGAACCATTGATAAATCATATGAAAAGTTATAGATGCAGTAAATTTAGTGATTATAGAATGTTAATTGATCAAAACAAATAATCTCAATCGTATATTTATATTTTCATTTAAAATACTAAAATGCATTTAATATTGTGTGTTTGTGTGTATATTAGGCATGGGATGATAACCGTTTTCAAGGTAAAACGCAGTTTGGATAAGTTTTAAAAATGAATTAATAATTCAAATTTATTTTCTGCAAAACCGTTCCTACAGTATATGTATGATTTCTATTTTTTACATTTTTTTTTAGGACAACAGTATCTCCAGCAGAAAATATATCCAAAAATGGCATTTTAAAATGTACAGAAATCTGTGTTCTTGAAACTAATGAAGACAGAAGTCAATGATTTATTTTAATTATTTAACCTGACATGTTTACTGCTCCAAAATATTTTAAATGTCTTTTAAAATAAAATATATTGTGTTCAAAGGGGAAAACGTTTTTTTTTTTTTTTTTTTTTTTTACCCAGACATTTAACAAGAATACATTTTTGAGCAGTAATCACAATACCGTGAAACCGTGATATTTTTATCCAAGGTTATCACTCCATCACAACCTTAAACCAGCCCATGCCTAATATATATTCAGAAATTTATATTTTTCTAAATTTAGAAAAATTGTACAATTGTCTTGTCAAGTATGTTAAAAGGGAATTTGCACTCTTTCACCCCACCCCCTGTTTCTTTTGTAAATTTTGTAAAGTTTGTGTAAGTGAAGTCAAATGAAGCATTACCTTGAGAGACATTAGGTAAAAAAATTAAGAATTAAAAAAGCAAGTTACTGAAACTTTTTGTATAAAAACATTGTTAAACATTGAATTTTAAATTTGGAGGGAAAATGGCACAAGCTCACTGATGTCTTTTCAACTGTTTAATTTAAGTGTTATACATCTTATTTTTCTGTCTTTTAATAAAACCTTTTTTTTTCAGGATCTGACCTCCAGATAGACAAGAGTGGCACTGAACCGCCTGAAGTTGTGAGCGAGAAGCTGCAACGTGATGGAGGTTGATAAAGATCGATCTGGGAGCCCTCTGCCCAACGGCAGCCATCAAACCAAACGTGGACGAGGCCGGCCACGGGGATCACTCAACAGGAAGTTCACCACCGAGAAAGCCTCCTCACACAATGCCAGGCCATCCAAAAAGGTAGACTTCTTTTGTCCTGACATTGTCATAAAGGCCAAGGTGAAGAAACGCGGTCGACCAAAGAAGCTGAGGACACCCGGCAGACCTAGAAAGATCCCGCTAACACCCGAGGAAGAGTCAGAGAGACTTCAGAGGTTGAGTGTGCAGCGCAAGCGGAAACTGTCCAAGCCCCTTGGAAGACCTCGCATTCATCCCATCAGAGAAGGGTCTAAGGTAAAGAGGGGGAGAGGAAGACCTCCCAAGTCAGGTGGGAAATCTCAAAGCAGTGGAGCCAAACAAGCCAGCAGCCTTGATGTCGCTAACGGACCTCCGCGAAAAAGAGGCAGACCATCCGGTGCCTTGAAGAAAAAGAGGGGTCGGCCTGCAGGTTCCACTAAGATTGCCAGAGCCACCGATGGCTCCGCAAAAAAGAGAGGTCGCCCTCCAGGTTCTCTAAACAAAGTGAAGAAGCTTCAGCAAACTGATGGATCGCCCCGAAAAAGAGGCCGTCCCCCAGGCACAGGGGCTGGTCCCAAACCCAAGATTGTTCGACAGAACCCTGATGGGACTCCTCGCAAGAGAGGACGACCTCCTGGTACAGGCAGAAAGATCAAGGTTGTTGTGGTGAAGAAAGTCGTAGAGGGAGGCCGCAAGAGGGGCCGTCCGCCAAGTACCGGAAAAGTCCAGGCGAAAAAAGCAGCGAGCGCCGATGGAGCTCCTCGTCGTAAGAGAGGACGTCCAAGCAAAGTCAGACAGGAGGGGATGCTAGACAAAACGGCCTCAGGGGAAGACGACGATGACACCGATGCTCCCTCTCCCAAACAGTCCCGCACCTCCGACGACTCGTCACAGAATCCAAACGATGATGATGACACCAGGGGGAGCGATAATGACGCCGACCCAGAGGATGAAGATGATGACGACGACGATGACGACTCTGCCATTGATTGTTCAAAAGTCAACAACACAAGTGAGAACGAGATGGTGAGCAAGTTCAAAAAAAAGAAATGAAAAGATGAGGGGCTTCGTTGAAAATTGGTGGGTATATTTTTCGAAGGGTTTTAATAGGCTATGTCAATAATTCTTTTTTTTTTTATCTGAAAAGTGTGCTTTTGGTGTTGCCTGCCATGCCAGACTGTATTCCCCCTCCACACTTTTTACTTTGAAGCTCATTAATACCTGAAATGTTTGCTCACGATCTAATTGAGCACAGTCGATTTCCTTTGTTTTTTTTGCATGGGGAAATTTGTCTGTATAATTTGAAGCATGCAAAATCGAAGGACATGTAGCAGCCTGTAAACATCATGGGATCCGAATAACGTGGATGCACAATTAACAGTTCCATTGAAAACGTTATCATACGAAGCACACCTTTATTTGCTACCAACGGTTCGTGCCAATAATTTGAAAGCAACTACCAAACCAGACTGTTTCAGACGTAGTAGTGTCATACCTGTGCAGTAGTTTTGTGTGCGCGGGATCTTAAAATACTCAATTTTTAAATTTGTTAAATTGCCCTGACGGTTTTAGTCGATGTTGATGTGGTTGCGGAATTCGAGGATGACGGTTAAGTGCGTCTTTGCTGTAGTTTGTGTTTCTTTTATCATCATCCTTCAACTGTAAATCGATCCCGCTGGAATCAGTGTTTTATAGTGAAACAGTCTTATTTTATGCTTCATCAAATGTTCGTCTGATAGTTTGTAGATGTTCGGTGCTTAGTTTACGCAAACCCCTCATTCTTGTGATTGCTTAGTTTTTAATGCCGTTTGTTTTGCGAAATGTGAATACATTCATATTCTGCTTTGACAAAATGGCTCCTGGTTTTAATTTTCATATCATTAATGCCTTTTTATATACGTTTGCTCTGCCTTTTTGAACTTCCCTCATATAACCAATTGTTTTTCTTCGTTTTCATGCTTAGTTTGTGTAAACCGTATAGACGTCTCTTGCTATGAACAGTAGATCTTGCCTTGATTAATTCATGTATGATTTTAGTTTAATCGGTATGTACCAGTAGATGCTGAAAACAGATTGTTTTAGCTGAGATCTCGCATCTAGAAATGTTCTTTCATGTATAAAAAAAAAAAAAATAAAACGTTACCGTTCAGACATGGTTCAATAGACATTGAGTGCATTTCATGTACACGCTTTCTAAATTAGGTTACTCATCTGTGCTGTAGTACGAATACATTTCTGTATCACCGCTTTGTATGATTCATTTCACTTTGTGATTTGGAGAAGCATTGTTGCTGATTAATAACCAATTAAACCATATTCACCAAGCCTCCGTGTAACCTTCGTTCACTTTGTGTGTGAGGTGCTCTGAAAGTCATACCAGAAGTAACTTCCGTTTTTCGAGCTGCCCGCAAATAAAAAAACTACACGGGGAGGAGCGAATAACAGCATCAGCACTTTATTAGAATCAGCACATGGTGGGCAAGCAGACATGCTTTCAAATAAACCACAAGTTAGCAGCTTGGCTCCAAATGCGAAGGATCTGTTGTTTATCTCTGCAGCACATATTTACAAATGGAACGGGTTGCATAAAACACAATGAATTCAGGATCTTTTTTTTTTAATGAAGGAAAGACATTCGCTGCCCTGCAATTTGGGTTAATGCTTAATGACGGGGATGTTATTCACACATGACGAGCTTGCATTAAAATGTTACACCAATAACAGCAAAATTTCAGGTGTTGGACAATATGTCCTTAATACCCCAACAACAACAACAGAAAATCGTACAATCACTATTTACGAAGGTGGTTAAAGTGCCCATGTAGGTTTCACACAAACACATGCAGAGGATCATCCCTGAACGATGTCATTTCCAGTGCTGGGTAAGTCCCACACTGAATCCTAAATGATATATACATTGAGTCACGTTATCCTTCAGTTTGCATATCAGTAGTTCATTCTAAATGGTAACGTCAGGAGGTGTTCGGGTATAACAACACTAGTTGTACACTTTTATTTATCAAGCTTTTATTTAGCTTGAAATACATCTGTATAGAATTGCATTGGTGACCGTACTGTCACATGGGAAAATATAAAATCAAATATAGAAGAAAATACTTTGTTTACACCATTTTATTTACTTTCTTTCCACCTCCATTAGTCTTCTGCTATGCTTAAAAGAGACCATTCATAATCAAATATCCTTTAAATCGAGTGCAACATCTTTAAAATGTCAAACGAATTATAAAATGTACCATCCAGATGTCAACATTACGGAAAGAAATCATTTAGCTTTGTTTATAAACGAGAAAGGAAATCGAGTTAGGAATCTATAAGGATGACGGCAATACATTATCCTCCAAAAATACCAGAGTAATAATATTTACTCTTTTATTTATTTTTCCGAATGGAACCATAGGCCGTTTCTGGGTAAAACACTTTGGCTTCTGTGCATAGATGTATGACTTGATCCTAAACTTAATCTTTGCGTTTCCTCTAGTTAATCATGGGCTCATTCGGACCAGCGCTACAAATCTATATTATTGCATCACCCTTTTTTTTTGTTTATTTATTTTTTGGGGGCCCCTGAAAAGGACCAACACATTCTCCAAACTAAAACCACACAGATATTCCTAACCAATTTTTTTTTTTTTTTTGTTGAGTAAAGCTCGGGCACTGTTGCAAAGCACTCAAGAAAGGTACAAAGAAATGCAGTGACAGACAAAGGGAGGGAGAGGCACTGCGTCAATGACTGCACTCACACGCATTCGCACACACACTGTGGATTCAATGAAAGGCATTGGTGGGGAGAGAAGGAGGGGTGGAGTTCACACAAAGCCAACATCGCCTGTCCTTGTGTGTCCCACCAGAGGCTCAGTAGTAGAAGTACACTGTTGGAGGGAAAAAGATGAAAAAACACTGAATTATTGACTGAAATGAGTCAGTCGAGGCTGATTCTGAAATATATTGGAGCTTTACGTTTAATTTAGAAATCGATATTCTCGATTAGAGTTGATATTCTTTAATCTATTATACAGTGCTCAGCATAAAATTGTGTACACCCCATTTTGAAAATTAATATTTGTATCCATTTCTCAGTGAATAAAGGCAATGTATTTTGGTGCATTTAAACAAAACAGATTTATTAAACTGACATATTTATTAAAATAATATTTTAGTCAGCAAACATATTTAGAAATTGAAAACTAAATTCAAGCAAAATATTGGAAAAAAAACCTACTAAAAAATGTTAATTTTTTTGCTGCTTGATTTTTATTTACAACTTTTATTTGTATTTAATATTTTTCTCCAACATAGATTTGGCTGTACTAGTTTTTAGACCCATATCGTAAGTGATTTTGTAAGATGAGCTCTAGATTTGGCTTCAGTACTGACTAATCTAATGTATATGCACAAATATAATATTTATAATATAAATGTGAATTGAAAAGTGATTTGTGAGGGGTGTACTTATATATGCAGAGCACTGTACTTATGTATATACTGTATGTATGTATGTATGTATATGTATATATATATATATATATATGTGTGTGTGTGTGTATTTAAGCATTTACTGGAAGCAGCTACGATAAAACATTGGCTTTTTAATATCTTATACTTATTAATATCGTTACATAAATGACCTCTTATGCCCAAAATGAACTCTTGATTTCAGATCAAAATGCTAGATGGCAAAACATGTAGGAATATAACAACAATAAATAATACTATGTACGGCAATTAGCATTTGTGAAATTATATGGCAATTTCTACTTACTGAAAGCAATACCCAACAAGATGATCCCCATTATTCCCATTATTATCATCATCTGTGGAAGAAAAAGAAAATTATATTATTTATATTATTCACCACTACACAATGGTGAAAATAGTTACATGAAAAGAAAATATTTAATTCTGTGCAAAAAAAAGCTAAATAAGAATATAAATTGTCTGATAAATAAGAAAAAATATCTATTATATATATATATATATATAATATAATAATTATATATATATATATATATATATATATATATATATATATATATATATATAAATATATATGTCTGATAATATTTTTTCTTCTGAAGAAAGTCTTATTTGTTTTGTTTCAACTAGAATAAAATAAGTTTTTAATAAAAAAAATTAAGCTCAGTATTATTAGCCCCTTTAAGCTATATTTTTTCGATAGTCTACAGAACAAACCATCATTATACAATAACTTGCCTAAGTACCCTAATCTGCCTAGTTAACATAATTAACCTAGTTAAGCCTTTAAATGTCACTTTTAGCTAAATAGAAGTGTCTTGAAATATATCTAATAAAATATAATTTACTGTCATCATGGCAAAGATAAAATAAATCAGTTATTAGAAAAGAGTAATTAAAACTATTATGATTAGAAAATCTCTCTGTTAAACAGAAATTAGGGAAAAAAATAAACCAGGGGGCTAATAATTCTGACTTCAACTACACACACATACAGTTGAAGTCAGAATTATTAGCCCCATTGTTTATTTTTTCGCGTTTATCTTTTTCCCCATTTTACTGTTTAAAAGAAATGTTTTTCTGCACATTTCTAAACATAATAGTTTTAATAACTCATTTCTAATAACTGATTTTTTTTATCTTTGCCATGATGACAGTACTTAGACGGTAATTAGGAAAGTTATTGTATAATGTTGGTTTGTTCTATACAAAAATATATAGCTTAAAGGGGCTAATAATTATGCCTGTATACGGGGCATAATTACACATCTGTATTTTATATACAGATGTGTAAAAAATAATGCTGTAAGACTCATTTAGTTTTTTTCTAGATCTGTTGCAAGATTTTTTTTATTTGGTTGGTGTGCATGTAGCTATTTATAAATAAAATAATTATTATTAGTAGTAAAACTAACTAAAACTAAATAAAATATTAATAATAAACTGAATATGTAGGGTGTCAAATTATTTAATTCAAGATATTGTAACAATATATCACTAAAGCTTAAAAAAGTTGGCAAAAAAAAAACGATTAAAGTCCAAAAAACAAAAAAAAAAAGACCCCGGATTAATAAAGGGACTAAGCCGACAAGAAAATGAATGAATGAATGAACATAAAAAGCCAATTACGCTTTTAGTATCTCCAAAATGTTTAATTTCTTACTTTTTTATTTTAATAAAAAAATAAATTTTAACCGCCACCAAGAAAAAGAAATGTTTGGATTGCATTTCTTAACTCCTATTCAACACACTTAATGCACTTTTTCAACACATCTCATAATTTCTAAAATATCAACCTTTACCAAATGGTTGATAGGTCGGTTTATGGTAAAAGTTCCGGAATAAATACATATACTATGAAAAATCTGAAAATATGAAGTGTAAAGACCAATTTATTTATGAAATAATCAAAATAAAACATTTCTCAATACTAAATAATTTTTTTTTTGAAGTGTCTTTTTTTTTTTACAATAAAACCTAAAATCAAGAGTACCAGTGCAACAGGATTATGTTTGATTGATTTTTTCATAAACCAACAATGCTGTGTGTGTAAACCAGTATTTAAAACAGTCAAAATATGGTCAACCATTTAGTAGAGAAGGCAGTTAAAGGGTTAAAACAATCCCCTTTTCAGGTTAACATCTACTATTTTCTTCCATTAATTATAGTCATTTTTAAACGATCTCTTAATTCCAAAACATACTTTACATACAAGAAATACTCTTGTAAATGGTGTAAATATAAACTAATGACACTAAATAAACAATTAATTCATGTTTATAATTATAACATGCGCAGCTTTCTTGACCTCAAAATAACTCTACATGATGTATTTTCACTTTTCATTTATCATTTTATTTATCCACAAGCATAAATTGGGTAATAAAAACATATTTACGACAAATTAATGCGAATGTACCATCATAAAACTTGAGTAAATCCTTGAATAAGAGTTAAAATGTAAGAAATCTGGAAAGGAACAATCTGCACATGTATAATAGGAAAGTGTAATGGAAAAGAGAAAGATGGAGGAAAGGGAGGAGTGAACGGGTGCAGATTAATGCGAGTTACATCACAAATCACATCTGGGTTTTAATCCGGAGATGCTGTAATCCAGATTGCAACTAGAAGCCCCTTCCCCTCCCCCACAGCGCTCACTGCTGGACGGGACGGGCAGCTGTTAGGCCATCTGGGTGGTGTAGGGGGGGTGGCAGAGGGGACTAATAAATTTATGCTGTCTGGAGGGGAGGTGAACGAGGGGGAGCTTATAAATCCAGAGCGAGGGGATTGACAGATCGTTGGATGGAGAGATAAAAATCTAATATGTAAAG